AAGCCTGCTTCTCCCTCTCCCACTCCCCCTGCTTGTGTTCCCTCTCTCACTGTGTCTCTCTCTGTCAAATAAATAAAATCTTTAAAAAAATAAAATAGTCACATAATTATTTTAAGACCATGGTAAGAAAGACATAGTACAGATCTTATCAATATCCTTCGAGGAAGCAGGACTCCTGAAGCTTACTTGAGCCAGGACATGAGAAAGTCAGATTTGTTAATAACTGACAAGCTTTTCTACAAATATACTTTGATGTTTTGCAGAGGAACAAATAATTAAATGGAGATTTTCTTTGGAGCTTAGATTTCCCAATCCAAACTGGAAATTATCAAATGATCCTTTATAGCAACTTTCTTTAGAGATAAAACAGCCATCTTGTTTGTCTTTTGAGATAATTGTGAAGTTGAGGAAGATGTATGTTTCATTTTTTAAAAACAGCTTTATTGAGATATAATTGATATACAGAAAAACTGAACTTATTCAATATACACAATTTCATGAGTTTGTAGAAATGCATACAAATATGAATTTTCAAGTGTCTAGTGGAGATTTGGTTTTTCACTTTGGGTAAACAATTTTAAGAGGCTTTGCCACCTTTTAAGATGATTCAATCATCTCAGTTCAAAATACAAAATAAAATGAATATTATGGGCCCAAACCAAGAGAAAAGTTGGTGAACAGGAGTCCCGCCTTTCAATTTCTTTTGATTAAGAAAAAGTGCCTATTGTATGGAAGTAAACAAAAGATATGATATGGATTTAACTGCACATAGTGCTGAGTATATAACACAGGAAGCAGTTTACCTCCAAACATGACAGTAAGACATTAAAACTGAAAGCCATTTTATTTATCAATGATGTCAGTACTCAAAGTGGTCCAGTTAAAATCTACTTGCTCTTGAAAAAGAGAAGTACACTGAAGGGAGATGCAGAGAGCTTTGGGGAGGCATCAGGATTCTTGACAGTGAGGACAATGCACTGGTCATGCGAAAGTGAGTCACGGGGAAATGAGGGAGGTATGAAAAGGCCCAGGGAAGAGGGCCATCGCAGGAGTGAAAATGGGAGAAATCTGAGAACACCAGTGGTGGAATGAATGTGTGCATGTGGAAGATGCATCTGCAGAGGCACAAGTAGTGGGACCCAGATCTAAATCCAAGTACCTGATTAAGAAAAAAAAATAAGACTAGAAATCTAAAACCTAAACAAGCCTAGCCATGTAACAACTACAAGTTCATTACCTTTACTTTCTCTATACGCCCACTGAGCTGAAGAGCAGTAACAACAAAGTATACTCCTTCCCCTCCTGGTTTAAATTTTGGAGGGGATCTGTGGAGACTGTGGGTTCAGCTGAGATTACAGTGGGAACAGTTTCACGAAGCAGGGTTGACAATAGGTCTTGTCGTCCTGCTCCTTGAAGATGCCCTTTGACAGCTGTGTCAGGCAGAAAGCACAGACGAAGTGCTCGGGATGGAACTTGTGGCCCATGGCACTGATGCAGCGGCCAGTGATGGGCTGCCCACACCCGTGGCAGAGTGTTCCCCGCCGCTGATGGTAATGGAGCTCACAGTATGGACGTCTGTCCAGTTCAAAGAAGGAGCCGGAAGAAAAACTGCTGAAGCAGTCCTGCAGGATAGAGCAAAGGGAAAGAAAAAGGAATGCCGATGTCAAGAAGTAGAACAACAGCAAAGTAAAACTTGCAGCCTAGAAATTCCTGCCAGTTATTACCCACTTGCAAAAGACATGAGCAAGTGCCCCCAGCCTCCTTTACCAGGCCTGCATCAATCCCTCACCCCAAGCTGTGAACCCTTTTCCCAGTTGCTGTTCTGCCCCTCAAAAAGGAAGACTCTTGACTTTCCCTCAGTCCAAAAGAGGTCCAAAAGAGGAGTGTACAGACCCCACACACAAAGCATTCCGGGTGCCAGACAGTGTCCATGGCTGAAAGGTAGTTTTCCAACACGGGGCGGTTGCAGCCGCCACACTTGGGTGAGAACATGGCTAGGAAATCCTTCCGGCAGTATGGCTTCTTGTCCTTCTCATGAAAGCCTGGAGAGATAAAATCAACAGTTCACGGTGCAGGGTGACACCTTCCACTAAGCTGGAGGCTGAGAAGAGGCCAGTGATTTCAACTCTCCCAAACTCAGTGTCCTCATATTCAATACGAACCTCAATAGCTCATTGTAAGAAATACGTGAGAGAGAAATACATAAATACATAAATACAGGAGGTAATGGGGAACAGGTGCATTAGTGCTAGGCCTGGCTCATACCCAGCATTTAGTGTTAAGGTCTATTCCTGCTTGACATCTCTGTACTAAGTATCGTGCTGGCCCGCACAGCTCTGCCCCAGGCTTTGGTGTGGCTAATCTCACCTGATGATTCAGAAATCGGTTCAAATATCACCCTATCAGAGGCACCTCTTATCTACCCGTATCTATCACTTCATCTTTTCTAAACTCATCTTTCCAGCATTTACCATTATCTGAAACTACCTTGGTGGTCTGTCATCCTGAACTGGAGCATGGCTCTGAAAGTAGATACTGTTGGTCTTGTCATGTTATAACTCTAGTACCTAAAACAGCACCTGCACAAAAGGGCTTAATCTTTAAAAAGAAAGTACTAGGAAATAATAATTTCCAAATGGATGCAAGATTCTAAATGTAACAGTTTAAGCCATACAAAGACGTGAATCAAAACTGAGTGGGACCCTCTTTAACCTGGGAATGAGAAAACTGTAGTAAACTTGGCTCAAATTTCAAAAGCAAGTTAAAAATCAATAAATTAAAAAAATATTAAAAAAATCAAAAAATTTAGGTCCATTAAAATATATGTATGAATGGAGGGAGGAGCAAGATGGCGGAGGAGTAGGCAGAGACCTAAATTTCGTCTGGTCCCAGGAATTCAGCTAGATAGGGATCAAACCATTCTGAACACCTACGAACTCAACAGGAGATTGAAGAAAAGAATAGCAGCAACTCTCTGAACAGAAAAGCGACCACTTTCTGTAAGGTAGGACGTGCGGAGAAGTGAATCTGAGGCGATATTCAGGAAATAGACGGCGGGGGAGGGGGTCTCCATCAGCCAGCTACTGGCAAGTGATTGTGCCGCAAAGCCCAAAATTGGAACTTTTAGAACTCGGCTCTGCTGAGGGACGTCGCTCCAGTGGCTAAGCGGGGGGTGGAACCCTCGCTGGGACAGTGTGGTCTCAGGACACTCGGGGTCACAGAAAGACCGGGGGTGCCTGAGTGCGGCAGAGCTCCCAGGTATCAGAGCAGGGAAGCCAGCTGCAGAGACGGAGCCGAGGCACGGGCTCTCAGCTCGGGGTTGCCATAAACCGTGATCCGCGGCACAGTCGGGCCACTGCTCCTCCAGCAGGGACCCAACAAGCGGCAGATCCAGGGAGACACCCCTTCCTCCCCCGGGAGGAGCGGCGCGGGAGCGCACCACAGGAATCTGCTGAGTTTGGAGACTCCACACTGAGTTGGGTGCCAGAGATAGAAACGCTCAGTCACAGGCTAGGTGAGCAGAGAGTGCGACCAGAGACCGAGGAGACGGGAGTGATTGCTTTTCTCTGGGGGCTCACTGAGGAGTGGGGCCCCGAATTCTCAGCTCCTCCGGGCGAAGACTGGGAAGCCGCCATTTCACTCTCATCCTCCAAAGCTGTATGGAAAGCTTGCAGGGTTAAAAAGCTCCTGAGAGCCAACCCAAGCAGATTACTTAGCCCTGACCCGGCAAGGGTGGGGCAATTCTGCCTCCGGCAAAGACATTTGAGAACCATGGCAACAGGCCCCTCCCCCAGAAGATCAGCAAGAACGGCCAGCCAAGACCAAGTTTACCGATCAATGAGAACAGCAGAAATCCAGCACTTAGGGGAATACTGCACATAGAATTCATGGCTTTTTCCCCCTGATTCTTTAGTCTTTCAAAGTTAATTTTTCTTCTTTTTCTATATATTTTTTTCTTTTTCTTTTTCTTTTTCAACCAACATCAATCCCTTTTTTAAAAATCTTTTTTATTTTTCATTTTTAGAGTCATATTCTGTCCCTTCATAGTAGTTAACATTATTTTTGGTGTGTATATATATGTATATATATACATATATGTATATATATACATATATATATGTGTGTGTGTATATATATATAAGTTGTTCTCTCTTTAAAATTTTGGGATACAGTTTCTCCTAACAGACCAAAATATACCCTAAATCTCTAGTGTATGGCTCTGTTCTAGTCTCCTGCCTGATCACATTCTCTCTCTTTTTTTTTAATTTCTCTTTTCTTTTTTCAACCAACTTATCTTACCAATTCCTTTTATAAAATCTTTTATAATTTTCATCTTTATATTCATATTCCATCCCTTCATCGTATCTACCCTTATTTTTGTACATATATAAGTTTTTATTTCTTTAAAATTTTGGAAGGCAGTTTCTTCTAACAGACCAAAATATGCCCAAAATCTAGTGTGTGGCACTGATCTTTTCACCAGCCTGATCATATTTGACCATATTCTTTTCTTTTTTTATCATTTTCTTTTTCTTCTTTTTCTTTTTTTTTTT